GCGTCCACAAAAAGATGATAAGCGAGAGGGCACAGGGGCAACAGGGATACTTCACTTGCACCGCTCGAATCTTCCAGCACACAGTGCTATATGATCCGATTCGTCGATGTTATCGCGTTCGGTCAGTAATGACAATACACGTGCCCTATTTCTATGATTTGTTAGAGAAGGTTAGGTTAGGCCCACTTTAGAACCACAGAACGGTGGTTGCCTGTCGGCGATCATGAATTAGCATAGTAGTGCTCAGACGGACCACTTTTCGACGGCTGTTGCAACGCGTAGTCGGTATCACCCACGAAATTGTCGCCATCGGTGGTTGAGCACAACGCACACGGTGCGACACGCCAACCACTCGACACAACTTTTATTTTCGACTCAAAAATTATGCCATTTTCCGACGTTATCAAGTAAGTTTTTTAATTTTTTAAAAATAGTCTTTTAGGGTTGAAAATAAAAAATACACGGTTCGTTGTCGTCGATACGGACCACTTGCCACCACTTTTTAGTGGCTGCGAGTTGTTGATACTAGCGACAGCCCAACCACCGTTTTGTGGCTGTGGTGTGATTCTAAAGTAGTCCGCCTTCATGAGACTTTTTGTCCGGAGCTTTGGGGCCGAGAAGACTCTTACCATTTTCGTGTCGCTACCAACGTTACCGATTCAGCATAGAATAAGATTACAACATTAGTAGTGGTTGGAATTGGAATTAAACGTAACTATGAAATTACAAATAAGTAACGTGATTGTTTATTAGAAGATCATTCATCATATGCGTGTGTTCTACTGCTGTCAGAAGATCGTGAACAATTCTACTCAAGCAATCCAACATATGTATGTATCTTTATATGCAAATTTAATAAAAGAGGATTGATACATCTGTCGACTTTACCATCTCTAATGGTTGGATTGTATGTAATTCCTAAACTCACCGCTTTATATCGTAGAGGACATAACAGAAACTCTAATTTTTTGCACGATCGGTATTTCAGAACGGTGGACACAAAAATACATTAGGTACAAAGTGTATCCTGTACGTCCTCTGTGGTATGACCCAATCAGACCCGCATTCTTTTGCCTTTCATTTTCTCGTGAACGCACAGTAGATTCCCTTTTATCCGGTCACGTTTTAATCGGTCTCCGCTTTAATCAGTCACATTTTCGTTAGGAGCGCCAACAAGAAAACAATTGACATATTCTGTGTTACGTAGCTCATTCGTGATTTACAGCATTTATCAAAAAGGAAACTTCAATCGAACGAATAAGCACATTCTTCGGACATAATTTTGAAATAAAACAAAAGAAAAAAGCTGAAACTGTAAAGAATTTAAGGGGGTATTCCCATTCGGAGAAGTCAAAAAAACGATTTTTTTTAAATATATTTTCTTAAAGTATAACACCTTGACAATGTGTTCCTAAAATTTTATACTTGAATTCATTGAAATGACAAAGTTATAGCGATTCTAAAAGAAGGATACCCCGGAGAACGGTGCACCGCTGCGAAACATTGAACACGTTTTTCTCAAAACAACTGCCATGACATCTTAACACATTACTTACCGGCAGTGAATTAAGGGGGTACATACAAAATACCGGTCAATTCAAACTTAAACTATTCGATAATACCGGGAGGTTGTGTGGAGGAAATAAAATAAAAACTTACGACATCGTTTCTTCTGTAGATTGTTAATGATTATTAATAACAATACTTAAAAAGCTAAGATAACAAAACGGTTTTGTGGTCAGTTGTTATAAAAATAATAAAATATCTAAGAAACAGCCGATTTGTAGGCTACCGGTCGATAAACGGCACTGTAAAGTCTATTAATCGGCTGCAGGTAAGTAATGTGTTAATAATAAATACATCAATGCTCTTCAAATTTTACACACATAAAATAGACTTCTCTTTATCTTGTGAACTAAACTTATGTCAATATCCACAGTAGTTATTTTTTTATCGCAGGAAAAAGTTACAAATTTAAGTTGCTTCGTTCTAGTTCACAAGATAACCACTTTTATATAGATAAAGATTGTCTTTGATTTTTTTTCTAATAAATACAACAACGTAAATCGTGACAGCCATTAAAAGCGATATACTGCGGATATTATACAGTAATTTAAATAATAATAAAGATAATTGTATAAAAAGTGTGTTATCTTGAAGCATGAACAAATACGTATACAAAATTTCAAAACCCTTGATCTATAATAACCTAACAATTTTATGCTATAAATCGCCTAAAATCGACGGCTCCGAGTGGGAATACCCCCCTTAACTGAAGAGTTCTGTTCTTGTGGTCGAATATTGTAATCCGATCTTTTTTTATCACTTTTTAAGGTTCCATCCAAAATTTAATATTCTGCCTGTCACGTAACGTGGCAAAAGATTTTAGGAACAAATACAGTACTTACACTGTAATGATCCTATAATTTTTTAACTAATATACAATAACATTCTACATTTTATATGTAAACGATATAAATAATATTTGACATATATTTTTGTATTACTCGCCCATTCGTTTATATGGCCAGAGATCCGGTCCCTACGAGACCGTTAAAAGGGAGTCCATTGTATTTAGTAGGCCCTCAGACCCAACGGGACTTTGGCCCAGGTCAGTTTGTTCCAGACCAGCAAGCGATCGAAGTTACTCTTATGCCATAAACGACCCAGAGTGCCCACAACGTTAGTATTTTCAGAAGTAAATTTCTATTGTTTTGTTATTTTACTAAATTCTGAAATACTTATTAGCAAAATAAATTTCTTTTACATCAGAAAAGCATATTTGATGAAAAAAAAATGACGAAAAGGAGTGCTGATGAAATACGTTACAATTGACGTGGCCACCCACGTCAGTTATACTACTATGATGAAGAAGCGACAAGTGAAGTGGATAGAGAAGAGGTAGAAGAAGAAATACACGAGGAAGATTGTGACGAAGATTCAGACATCAATTCTGGAGAAATAAATGTGGACAAGGAAGAAGAGGAAGATGACTCTCGTGCTGGAGCGTCGGCAGATGAATTGGAGCAGAGAAGAATGCCAAGGAGTCGCAGATCCATTATAAAAGGGAAAAACAATTTCAATTGGGTGTGAATGCGAGAGGAAGCTGATGCCATACAGTGAAATGCTTTTTACCGTGTACGAAAGATGTACAGACGCCACTTGAAACGTGGAGTTTCATTATTTACAGATACCATGCTTGAAAACTCGTCACAAATCAAAAAATTGAAAATAACAGAGAAGAGTATTCGGAGCAACCATACTATAAGAAAAGCCTTCTTGGGATTATTATACTTCAGAGGTGCTGAAAAAGATAATCACGTACATCTACATGAAATGTGAAGCCCTCGATACGGGTACAATTTGTACAAAACTGTAATGTCCGAACGCAAATTCAAATTTCTGTTATCATGTATTCATTTCGATGACAAAACAACACGTAGGGAACGTAGAATGCAACAGGATTTGTCACCAATAAAGGATATGTGGGATAGTTTAATTGAAAGTTGCAAAAAATATTATTCGTCGAGTAAAAATTGCACTATAGATGAGCAGTTTGTTAGGATTTCGGAGGCGTTTTATATCAAGAATTTACGTAACGAAAAAACCAGACAAATATAGGATAAAAATAATTATGTACAATGATGCACAGACATATTACCCGTAAAAATACAAGATAGTGTGCCAAGTTACTATGCCAAAAAAGTGACTGAACCGATCCATAATTCACAACGCAATATAACATGTGATAATTGGTTCAGATCCGTCAAACTTATGCAACAGGTGAAGGATCAGTTTGGTTTAACAATGGTCGGCACGATACGGAAAAATAAATTTGAAATTGAGAAATCATTTGTACAGACGACATTGCCTGGTACAGTACGTTATACATATGCTGATAGGATGACCCTACCATACTGTCCTAAACGAAATAAGGTAGTTTTACTATTATCTGGTTTGCATAAAGCTGGTAGAATGAATGAAGAAAGTGGCAAACCAGAAATTGTAGTATTCTACAATAAAACTAAAGGTGGCACGGATACGTTCCACCAATTATGTAAAAATTATAGCGCAAGTAGGATTTGTAAGCGATGGCCCCTACAGATCTTTTATGGAATGCTTGATCAGAGAGGAATAAATTCTCAAATTTGATATAACTTGAAAGCCAACAACAATGTTTTACCGTGCCGCATATTCCTGCAGGAATTGTCACTAGGTCATTTAGAACCTTTTTTGAGAATACGTTTTAAATCTATTACTTTACAAAGAAATATTAGAACAATGATTGTTGATATCCTCGGTTTGAATCAAACACGGGAAAAGAAAAATGATAAATTACCCAAACGCAAACGATGCTCGTTATGTTCATCAAGAGTGGATAAAAACAAATTATTATTGTACGTTGTGTGAAAAACCCGTATTCGAAGAACATGGAACAAATTCCTGTAATAATTGTTCATTGCAAAAACTGTTTTTGTGCCCTTTTGTAATAAATAATGATTTTTCCTGCATTACTGTTTCAAAATTCCTTCAAATTCAGGTTTCAAAATAATTATACTTTTTGAAGCCGCCGCAAATGTGCATGCAATTTTCCAAACAATCGTAAGGAGAAATACGAAACCCTGCAATAACTTTTTTTGTACTCATATATTACAAAATAATCCATTTGTTTCGAACTTCCTTCCGAAATTTTAATTTTTGCTAATTAATCCTTTAAACATTTGATTCAAGGAACGATTGTATATTAAAATAGAGACTTCAATAAGTATTTCAGAATTTTTTCAAATTTTTGGAAAGTCAAGAACAGTAAAAAACTTAGTCGTGGACATAAACGACCCAGGCTGCCCACAGAAGGTGCGGAAAATATGCTTATTCACGGAGGGTTAATAACAATATTTAATTAATCACTATCAAACTCTCCAGATATAATATTAAATTTACTTAATTGAATGCTCAGCAATAATTTTACTTTGAAATCAATGTAATTTTAATTTATATATTTAAAAGTACTTGTATGTTCATAAAGACATTTAAAAACATTATGTTAAACGTTTATATGTAAGATAGAAAAGAAAATAAGTGTAAAAATGTGTGAATTACTTACCTGTAAACTTGGATGACATCCTAATTCCAGTAACGTGTGCACTACACCAGCATGACCTTTATTAACCGCGATATGGAGGGCAGTTTGACGTCTTTTATTCCTAGCATTCAAATCAGCTCCAGCACCAGCTAATAATGCCATTACACCTGGTTCATCTCCAAAGGCAGCATGATGAACAGCTCTGTCTCCATCTTTATCCTAAATGAATTATAAATTGTTTACTTTAATTACTATACATGTTCTCAAACGAACTTAACTTCCATTAATATATCCATTACTATATTTAGTTACATTGCCACAAAAATTAATTAAAAAAAAATACTTACTTCAATTTCAACATCTGTTTTGTAACGGAGGAGAATTTTGATAACTTCTAAGTGGCCATTTTGACTTGCAGCTTGCAAAGCAGTGTGTCCAGCAAATACACCATTCACATCAGCCTCGGGTCTCTTCAAACATTCTTCGCATTTAGTAGCATCACCATTCGCAGCAGTTTTCACTAATTCTTCGTTAACATCACCCGAGACATGTGTTTCAAATAATTTTTTTAACAATGCCGATAAACGTTCTGAAAAAGTATGTTTACAAATGTGAATTTATTCTAAATTTCAAAAAATGATACAAATAAAATAAATATATTTTATTAATGTAAAATAATCAGTTATGACATTTAAACGTACCTCCACTGCTATTACCTGGTACACTACCATCACTACTTGCAACTTTGGTAACTGCTTGAGGATTATATGTCCAAGAGGTACTACAAACTTCTACTTTTAAATCACCATCATGGTATATTTGCAAAACTCTACCGATTTTTCCCATAGTCTGTAAAAACAAAAACATTATTAAAAATGATTTTGTAAATACATTTAAAAAGTTTATACTTTTATAAAATTATAATACATACTGGTGCCATCGCTTCAGCCCATTCTCCATGACCACGTTGAAGTAGTTTAATTTTTTCTAAATCGTTACATATTTGTACTAAGTCTCCAACCGCAAATGTTTGATTATCAGAACTTGAACTGGTGACTGGTACTGGTATTTGTACTTTTGTTAATACAGCGGGATTAAACGTCCATCGATTACCACTCGGATACGATACAACAATATCATGATCTTCATCGATACCAACAACAGTTCCTGTAGTGCCAAGACATTCAAACATACCATCTGTCCAACCACCATGCCCATGTTGTAGTGACTGTACTATTTCCAATTCTAAGTCAACATTAACCTACCAAACAAAGAGCTTTGTTTCTTATTTTCATTCTTATAATAATAATTAATTACAATTACTGTTTAAAAATGTCACTTTTCTGTACATTTTTTGTCATGTACATTTTTTAACAAATACTATAATACATTTAATTACCTGATCTCCAATTTGTAATCCATGTGGACCAGTGCGACCAGGACCTTGTTCACCTAATAGTGGCAAATGATCTCTGTACACTGTTTGACCCTTGGCATCATTAACAACTTTTAAATCTGCCTAAAACATAAATAATTACTAATTATTTATGTTATTCTTACAATTTGTACATTCACGCATGACTTATAGTGTTCAATATCTAACACAAACAGTTGTTGAACTAACCATTCCTTCAAAACCAACACGATACAAATTTTTGGCACCATTATCCCATATAACATAAGCTGCTGAACGTGGACTAGCTGCTGACCAATCCTGAACTTCATTAACTTTACCCCTTCGACCATTTCCACCATCTTGATCTTCCCACTGCCAATCAACACCTCTTACAACTCTTGCACCAGGAAATATACCACGAATTGCAATCTAATATTACATATAAAAAATAAATTATGTATCACTATGATAATGAAAGTAATAATGTAATGTTTAAAAACAATGATTAATACCTTTTTACTTTTACGTCTTGGTTCCAGTAATACTCTTTCACTTCCAGGGGTTGCTATGCGATAAAATCTATGTCTTAAGTGATGCTTGTCTCCATGGTAACAAATAGAACAAAGATCATAATTTCCACATTCCGCACATTTCCAACGAATTCCAAAGATTGGTTGTTGTCTACATGTATCACACATTGTTCCATCATGTTTTACACCTGTTGGAGCTGAATCTAAGATTCGAAGATCAAAAGCACCAGAACAACGATAATTAGCTGCTGTGCCATTATCCCAAACGACAACAACTTCTTCTGGAGATTCAAAATTTCGAACAGTTCCTACGTGACCTTCTCCTCCATCCTATTAGATTCAAAAGATTGAATACAAAAAATATTTATTAAATATAAACATATGTCAATAAAATAATATGGTAAACAAAGAACAAATAAAGTATCCATAAATGTAACTTTTTCTCGTTGTTTTTTATTTCTACTTTTAAGAAGTATAAATATTATAAAAACTTGGAAGCTGATTAATTAGAAGAAAAGAAGCTAATGCGTACAAAAAATTAAATCAAAACATAACAACATAACCATTTTAATAACCTTTAATATACATTTTAAATGAACAAAAAATTATAATAAACTAAAAGTATTCACAACTACGTTATAAAACATAACAAATGCTAGCGAAACCCCTCCAACATTAAATTAAATGAATATTAAGTGTAATATAATAACCTTAAACAATGATGTACAATTTCTTTCTACATACTATAAAAAATTAAATTGTACGTTACTGTAAAAGTGTTATCAAAAAATGTAGTCCTTGTCATTAGAAATGTATTTTCGACAAACATAATATAATATCTTAACCAAATATTATACAGAATTTTGTTAACCTTTATACTAACCTGTTTACCCCACTTCCATTCGGGCCCACGAATAACTCGAGCTCCGACACCCTCCATCATAAATCGCGTTGTACGAGTACCGGTACTCGCACCAGCCTCCATAATTCATTGGCAACAAAATTTCTATCAATAACACGAAAAAAATTAAAGAACGAGATACTCTTTCCATGCACCAACACTGAAAAATACCGCCATCTTAGACTAATGTCAAAACATGCTATAACAACTTTCAATAATATAACTTCTGTATGCATTTTATGTATAAAATATTTAAAAAGTATATTTTATGATTATATAACTTTTGTTATTGTAAACAAATAAACTTTTACCTTACAAATCTTTCTTACCTTTTGGTTAAATATACTTATTCCCATAAAAATTTAAATACTACATTTAGTAAATCTAGGGAATTTGTAACCTACAGTGTCATGTATGATACCGCATGGGATTTGTTGCGTTTTCACGATTGTTTTAGGGATAATGTGAACATGGATTGGTACCCGTGCAGCGTTAACCGCTCTGCTCGTCAAAATGTGCGAGCAAGATCTACTTTCATTAGAAGCTACAATAATGGTCAAATGTATTGCCCTTTCTACTCTATCGCTTTTCGGTTCCACTTTTGACAGTTTAACAGTCGTTGAATACAATCTTTTTGCTCCACCGTTAAACTACGTTGACCACGCTGCGACACACATAAACACACCTCATACAACGCCCATAATAAACCTGCATGCACGTCGCACATAAAAAGAATGGTGCGCGCGTAACAATAAATCACCTAATAACGAAAACTTCAATTTCTATAATTTTCATCCTATCTGTATGAAAATAGCAGCAATGAATTAGTGAGGTTCTTGTGATAAAAATGAGTTCAAATACGAGATAAAATCGAACTGAACTTAACAATAATCACCTTGAAAAATTGTCGTACGTTTTGTAAAAAATACGGGATCCACGGTTAGGGTGGACGCAGAATTAATCAAGTCCTACTGATTTCTCACAATTTTATATATGTACATAAGTATATATTCTAGACTATAATGGCAACTCGAAGCTTGCCGGAGGATTGTCTAACAATAAGAAACACTGAAAGTTTTTTCACCGTTGCCACCGAAGCTTCCTTAAGCGTCTTGGGGGTTGGTTTACAACGGGCATGGCATTGTGCTGTTCGGGCCTGCACTTGCCATTCTCGTCGTACAATAACGTCCGATCGGGCCATGCGGTTGCTTTCGTCAGACGGCGAATTTTCCAACAGTTTCGTTTTCTCTACCCGAGATATTTAAATTGATTACTGGAAAACTGATCCGATTTATGTCGTGTTTGGACTTATTTTCATCGGGAGAATCACATCAATTCGTTGGTATTATTTGCACAAAGAATGAAAATTAGAAAAAGTGAAACTTTTGAAATTAGATGATTCATTACAACGCAGATATCCTGTTAGACAAGGATAGAATATAAAAGCTCGAAGGACACCCGAAACAAAGAAAAGCCACGTATGTATCTTACCTGGTTGAACTGGACCGAATTCGAGCCCTGTGACTAACTAGAACCGAGAGAACGTCAACAACCGAGGAGGTCACTTGTCTGGACGTATGATAGAGCAGATGTGAAGCGAGTTTTAACCTTGATATCAATAGACAACTACCAACCCATTCATATATTGAATAAAATAGAATTATAAGTTGAAAATCTCGATATTGCTCTTAAAATCCCTTTTAATCCCCTTTAGAGAAAGCCTATTAGCAAAAAAGAGACAGATGAAAGAGGTGTACCTTCATAAGGTATAAGACGAAGAGGGTATATTATCGCTAGAAGTAAAACAAAGAACGCGTTACAAAAACAGATACATACGCCCATGTGCCTATAACGTGGCCAGTTGAACCACTATACATACGTATACGGAGGGTTCGGACGCCAATCAGTGTAAGTCCAACTTTCCTTGAAAATGAGTTACGTAAGTTCATAAATCTGTTTATTGTTAAAACTTTTAGTTAATAAATCAATTAAGTCAGTTATTTTGAGGACAATCGGTGTAAGTCACTTTAACCCTTTAAATCCGAGCGACGTACTTATACATATGCAGTAGACTCCCGTACAACGCAAGTTCCTATAACGCGCCAAAGATATTGCGACTACTGTTTTCATATAACGCGATTCCTCGTACATACAACGCGCTGAATAATAAAATACAGGAATTCCCCGCATTTAAAAATTAAATCTGCTTTAGTTGAGATTCAGTTTTCTTTTTTGTTGATTGTTTCTTTATTACACATGTGGCGGAGCACATGTGTCATCCAGGTTCGCACGAGGACGAACGGCCCGCTTTCAACGAATTTTCCGTTTCCACCACTTTCTCCACTTCTATCTTTATCTATCGCTACTCCTGTCTCCCTGTCCTAACAATATAAAAACCCAGTACGCCTACACCTCCGGGGAGTTTGGTTCCTTTACCGACCATCGCGACGTACCCGCCGAACCGCTGCCGCCGGGACAATTAACAAAGTAAACGATTGTATTTTCTGGACAAATTGTACGCCTATACGACCATACACTTATACTTTAATAAATTGAGGTGAAAACAGTGTAACGACGTTCCTCACTCACCTCATACATTAATAATATGTTTTTTTATACCAACAACGTATGTCTATATGTCACTTATTTTCAAAAAACTGCCCTATTTGATAAAACAGAAAATAAAAGTTGGCATGGCAATAATCATTCCAAACATGTTACTTTAGATTATTCAAGATTATACGAGAAAAATTCTCGTATAACACGATTTCCTATAACGCGAATTCATACAACGCGTAAAGTTTAACCGCGTTATGCGGGAGTCTACTGTATATGTTCTGTATACTTTGATGAATCTCTGCAGGATGATCTTCCATTTTATGAAATCAACATAAAGCCGGTGTCAAGAGGAAGGCCTTTGCATTTGCTCAATACATGCATATTGTTCAAAACCCACTGTATCCAGAGCGTAGACCCGTAAAAGAAATTAAAAAGAAACACATGTTTGATCTACTATGTTGTATTGCGCCACATTACCATTTATTTTACCGAAGTTTTAAATACGACCATTAATCTCAAAAGCAAACCAAATGAACTTTGATGCAGTGAATGGCACTGAAAATGATAATCCGGACGAATATGTACATAGATTACCTTATTCAAACTTTTCAGTGGACATTTGACATAAGTCACAATTTTTTGATGCAATATGATTTCTTTTAAAAAACCATGGAGATTTTCTTTTGTTTCTCTTGCAGTTAAGTTCATTTCTATGTTATCTCTTAATAAAAATCATTTTTTGCATCTTTAATAGCATTGTCATTTTTTACAACTAGAGTTTTGAGACTTTCACGGCCCGAATTGATATGAGTGGAAATATTTGAGGCTTCCGGGTGTAAGCCGTGTCCAAAAGAATTTACATTCCGACGTTTCGCCAGCATTGCAGCTAGCTTCATCAGGGTCTAGTGACGTACTGATAATAGCGTACGTCTGGGTGTTCACTGCTTTAAGTACCTATGTTCATTTTTACGGGTCAGTGATTTTGACCAATCAGTGTTTAATTGATCGACCAATCAAACACCGATTTTTAATTGATCAACCAATTAAAAACCGGTTTTTGATTGGTCGATCAATTAAAAAAACGGGAGGAGGATGCTCCAGATAGGGTTGAGTTGGTAACCTGTGTCTCTGTTGATGTTATTAGAGTTTTTCATAATTTCTAAGAATTCCCTGTACAGTAAATTCTCTACAAGAATCAGTAAGTTTGGATTCTACAAGTGACAGTATAGATGGTCCTACGCCTAGGTGGTGTCATTGCTGCGCCCATGTTATCTCCTTCGCAGTCAGTCAAGCGTGTAACGCTACACCAGTCGGTTTCCTTTACGAGACTTCACGGCTCGAAAAATCATGATAGAAAATTATAATTTCTTTCATTTTACTTTTTTTCATCTGGAATTTTTTTTAACATGTTGGTGAGATTTTTCTGATGAAAATGATATCAAACACGATATAATTTGAACAACATTTACTTATTAACACGTTCACTGTCGCGCCAGATTTACAGGTTGCTGTCAGGCGGCCACAAGAAAATACATTTTAAGCATAGGATTATAGTATTATGCTTTATAATTTTTTTTTTTCAATTGAAAATAATGTCTAGCTAGCTATGACGTTCAAAATTTTTAGTTGACAACATTTATTTTATTTTAATTATTCTAAACATTTGAGACACTCCAGTCACTGATGACCACCATGGCCATATCGAGGAAACAATCTAACGTTAAAACTTATTGAGTGATTAATTTAATTTCATAATATATCGCTTTAGCGAGCCACCGTTTGCTTGCCAATTGTTTATCACAAAGAGTCGGCCTACCTCCACGTAAAAAAAAAAAAAAAATGTAGGGTCGATAGCAGCAGAAAAGCTGCTAAACAATCAGAATTAAATGTAACGATAGAAATTATTGCAATAATGCGTAATAATGAAAGAATCAAAAGAAAAAACGCGAATTCATATCTTTCTCGATTCTAGAATATAAGAAAATTTGAATAAAATACGCGACGAGAATTGGGGAGAAGCATAAGTTAAACGCGTAAAAATATTCAATAATAAACGAACTAGGGATGAAGCTATTATTTCAATACGCGATGCACTGACTCTAGTATTTACTAAAATTCAAAAATTCTCGTATAAATTCCGAAAATAGATTATTAATTACGGTAAACTACTGAGACGGTTTAATTAAGGGTGGGCATGGTGCTGCTTTAGTTTGAAATGATTTATAAACACATAATTAACAGAGGAAAAACCGTGAAACGGCAAAACGTCTACATTCTAATTGTTATAACATGTAAACAGAACTTTAAATTTAGTGTAAACAGAAAAAAGTTTGAAATGATTTATAAACACATAATTAACAGAGGAAAAACCGTGAAACGGCAAAACGTCTACATTCTAATTGTTATAACATGTAAACAGAACTTTAAATTTAGTGTAAACAGAAAAAATATATAATACAATTTATTTCACGGTATTGCAACAAATAAACGTTGAATCAATATTTAATTCGTATAAAAACAATTATTTAACGTAATAATTTTACCTTCACTATGGCTATTTTTAATCTACGACCACAGGTCAACCTGATTTCTAATCCTTACGAACT